GCAGCCCATCCTCATCATGGCAGCCCATCCTCATCAAGGCAGCCCATCCTCATCAAGGCAGCCCATCCTCATCATGGCAGCCCATCCTCATCATGGCAGCCCATCCTCATCAAGGCAGCCCATCCTCATCATGGCAGCCCATCCTCATCATGGCAGCCCATCCTCATCAAGGCAGCCCATCCTCATCAAGGCAGCCCATCCTCATCAAGGCAGCCCATCCTCAACAAGGCAGCCCATCCTCATCAAGGCAGCCCATCCTCATCAAGGCAGCCCATCCTCATCAAGGCAGCCCATCCTCATCAAGGCAGCCCATCCTCATCAAGGCAGCCCATCCTCATCAAGGCAGCCCATCCTCATCAAGGCAGCCCATCCTCATCATGGCAGCCCATCCTCATCATGGCAGCCCATCCTCATCAAGGCAGCCCATCCTCATCATGGCAGCCCATCCTCATCATGGCAGCCCATCGTCATCATGGCAGCCCATCCTCATCAAGGCAGCCCATCCTCATCATGGCAGCCCATCCTCATCAAGGCAGCCCATCCTCATCATGGCAGCCCATCCTCATCATGGCAGCCCATCCTCATCATGGCAGCCCATCCTCATCAAGGCAGCCCATCCTCATCATGGCAGCCCATCCTCATCATGGCAGCCCATCCTCATCATGGCAGCCCATCCTCATCAAGGCAGCCCATCCTCATCATGGCAGCCCATCCTCATCAAGGCAGCCCATCCTCATCATGGCAGCCCATCCTCATCAAGGCAGCCCATCCTCATCATGGCAGCCCATCCTCATCAAGGCAGCCCATCCTCATCATGGCAGCCCATCCTCATCAAGGCAGCCCATCCTCATCATGGCAGCCCATCCTCATCATGGCAGCCCATCCTCATCATGGCAGCCCATCCTCATCATGGCAGCCCATCCTCATCATGGCAGCCCATCCTCATCATGGCAGCCCATCCTCATCATGGCAGCCCATCCTCATCATGGCAGCCCATCCTCATCAAGGCAGCCCATCCTCATCATGGCAGCCCATCCTCATCAAGGCAGCCCATCCTCATCATGGCAGCCCATCCTCATCAAGGCAGCCCATCCTCATCATGGCAGCCCATCCTCATCAAGGCAGCCCATCCTCATCATGGCAGCCCATCCTCATCAAGGCAGCCCATCCTCATGGCATGGCAGCCCATCCTCATCATGGCAGCCCATCCTCATCATGGCAGCCCATCCTCATCATGGCAGCCCATCCTCATCATGGCAGCCCATCCTCATCATGGCAGCCCATCCTCATCATGGCAGCCCATCCTCATCATGGCAGCCCATCCTCATCATGGCAGCCCATCCTCATCATGGCAGCCCATCCTCATCATGGCAGCCCATCCTCATCATGGCAGCCCATCCTCATCATGGCAGCCCATCCTCATCATGGCAGCCCATCCTCATCATGGCAGCCCATCCTCATCAAGGCAGCCCATCCTCATCATGGCAGCCCATCCTCATCATGGCAGCCCATCCTCATCAAGGCAGCCCATCCTCATCATGGCAGCCCATCCTCATCATGGCAGCCCATCCTCATCATGGCAGCCCATCCTCATCAAGGCAGCCCATCCTCATCATGGCAGCCCATCCTCATCAAGGCAGCCCATCCTCATCATGGCAGCCCATCCTCATCATGGCAGCCCATCCAGCCCATCCTCATCATGGCAGCCCATCCTCATCATGGCAGCCCATCCTCATCATGGCAGCCCATCCTCATCATGGCAGCCCATCCTCATCATGGCAGCCCATCCTCATCATGGCAGCCCAGCCTCATCATGGCAGCCCATCCTCATCATGGCAGCCCATCCTCATCCTCATCATGGCAGCCCATCCTCATCAAGGCAGCCCATCCTCATCATGGCAGCCCATCCTCATCAAGGCAGCCCATCCTCATCATGGCAGCCCATCCTCATCAAGGCAGCCCATCCTCATCATGGCAGCCCATCCTCATCATGGCAGCCCATCCTCATCATGGCAGCCCATCCTCATCATGGCAGCCCATCCTCATCATGGCAGCCCATCCTCATCAAGGCAGCCCATCCTCATCATGGCAGCCCATCCTCATCAAGGCAGCCCATCCTCATCATGGCAGCCCATCCTCATCATGGCAGCCCATCCTCATCAAGGCAGCCCATCCTCATCATGGCAGCCCATCCTCATCAATTCAGCCCATCCTCATCATGGCAGCCCATCCTCATCAAGGCAGCCCATCCTCATCATGGCAGCCCATCCTCATCAAGGCAGCCCATCCTCATCATGGCAGCCCATCCTCATCAAGGCAGCCCATCCTCATCATGGCAGCCCATCCTCATCAAGGCAGCCCATCCTCATCATGGCAGCCCATCCTCATCAAGGCAGCCCATCCTCATCATGGCAGCCCATCCTCATCAAGGCAGCCCATCCTCATCATGGCAGCCCATCCTCATCAAGGCAGCCCATCCTCATCATGGCAGCCCATCCTCATCAAGGCAGCCCATCCTCATCATGGCAGCCCATCCTCATCAAGGCAGCCCATCCTCATCATGGCAGCCCATCCTCATCAAGGCAGCCCATCCTCATCATGGCAGCCCATCCTCATCAAGGCAGCCCATCCTCATCATGGCAGCCCATCCTCATCAAGGCAGCCCATCCTCATCATGGCAGCCCATCCTCATCAAGGCAGCCCATCCTCATCATGGCAGCCCATCCTCATCAACCTCATCATGGCAGCCCATCCTCATCATGGCAGCCCATCCTCATCAAGGCAGCCCATCCTCATCATGGCAGCCCATCCTCATCAAGGCAGCCCATCCTCATCATGGCAGCCCATCCTCATCAAGGCAGCCCATCCTCATCATGGCAGCCCATCCTCATCAAGGCAGCCCATCCTCATCATGGCAGCCCATCCTCATCAAGGCAGCCCATCCTCATCATGGCAGCCCATCCTCATCATGGCAGCCCATCCAGCCATCATCATGGCAGCCCATCCTCATCAAGGCAGCCCATCCTCATCATGGCAGCCCATCCTCATCAAGGCAGCCCATCCTCATCATGGCAGCCCATCCTCATCATGGCAGCCCATCCTCATCATGGCAGCCCATCCTCATCATGGCAGCCCATCCTCATCATGGCAGCCCATCCTCATCAAGGCAGCCCATCCTCATCATGGCAGCCCATCCTCATCATGGCAGCCCATCCTCATCATGGCAGCCCATCCTCATCATGGCAGCCCATCCTCATCATGGCAGCCCATCCTCATCATCATGGCAGCACATCATCAAGGCAGCCCATCCTCATCATGGCAGCCCATCCTCATCAAGGCAGCCCATCCTCATCATGGCAGCCCATCCTCATCATGGCAGCCCATCCTCATCATGGCAGCCCATCCTCATCAAGGCAGCCCATCCTCATCAAGGCAGCCCAGCCTCATCAAGGCAGCCCATCCTCATCATGGCAGCCCATCCTCATCATGGCAGCCCATCCTCATCATGGCAGCCCATCCTCATCATGGCAGCCATCCTCATCATGGCAGCCATCCTCATCATGGCAGCCCATCCTCATCATGGCAGCCCATCCTCATCATGGCAGCCCATCTCATCAAGGCAGCCCATCATCATCATGGCAGCCCATCCTCATCAAGGCAGCCCATCCTCATCATGGCAGCCCATCCTCATCATGGCAGCCCATCCTCATCATGGCAGCCCATCCTCATCATGGCAGCCCATCCTCATCATGGCAGCCCATCCTCATCATGGCAGCCCATCCTCATCATGGCAGCCCATCCTCATCATGGCAGCCCATCAAGGCAGCCCATCCTCATCATGGCAGCCCATCCTCATCATGGCAGCCCATCCTCATCATGGCAGCCCATCCATGGCATCCCATCCTCATCATGGCAGCCCATCCTCATCATGGCAGCCCATCCTCATCATGGCAGCCCATCCTCATCAAGGCCCCATCCTCATCATGGCAGCCCATCCTCATCAAGGCAGCCCATCCTCATCATGGCAGCCCATCCTCATCATGGCAGCCCATCCTCATCATGGCAGCCCATCCTCATCAAGGCAGCCCATCCTCATCATGGCAGCCCATCCTCATCAAGGCAGCCCATCCTCATCATGGCAGCCCATCCTCATCAAGGCAGCCCATCCTCATCATGGCAGCCCATCCTCATCAATTCAGCCCATCCTCATCATGGCAGCCCATCCTCATCAAGGCAGCCCATCCTCATCATGGCAGCCCATCCTCATCAAGGCAGCCCATCCTCATCATGGCAGCCCATCCTCATCAAGGCAGCCCATCCTCATCATGGCAGCCCATCCTCATCAAGGCAGCCCATCCTCATCATGGCAGCCCATCCTCATCAAGGCAGCCCATCCTCATCATGGCAGCCCATCCTCATCAAGGCAGCCCATCCTCATCATGGCAGCCTCATCATCCTCATCAAGGCAGCCCATCCTCATCATGGCAGCCCATCCTCATCAAGGCAGCCCATCCTCATCATGGCAGCCCATCCTCATCAAGGCAGCCCATCCTCATCATGGCAGCCCATCCTCATCAAGGCAGCCCATCCTCATCAAGGCAGCCCATCCTCATCATGGCAGCCCATCCTCATCAAGGCAGCCCATCCTCATCATGGCAGCCCATCCTCATCAAGGCAGCCCATCCTCATCAACATGGCAGTAACCCGTCCTCATCAACAAGGGCCAAATGTTCATTCGATGCAACCGCGTGTTCATGATTGAAAACACTTTTCACACGATTCACAACATACTGGGCAACCTAACTTGCCCTCGAGACGTACATATGAGTAGTACACACACATTAACATGTAGTCTACATGTATCTACAATACATGTGCACACACATTAATAGTACTGACATACACATTGGCATAACTCGTACTGAAGATGTATTCGTACACGAATACATATGTTTCGCTATATATTTTTTTTTTTTGCTAATATGTTTCGTGTGTTTCAGGTGTTGCTCGTTCGTGGGGAAGCGCGGGAACGGCCCCCAGGCGCTGAGCATCGGCAAGAACTGTGACAAGTTTGGCATTGTGGTGCACGAACTCGGTCACGTGGTGGGCTTTTGGCACGAACACACCCGCCCCGACCGGGACAACCACGTGGTGATCATCCGTGACAACATCCAGGCGGGTGAGTACCCCGTGTAGGGGGGGTGGACCCTATTGCGACCCGGGGTTGGACCCTATTGCGACCCGGGGGTGGACCCTATTGCGACCCGGGGTTGGACCCTATTGCGACCCGGGGTTGGACCCTATTGCGACCCGGGGTTGGACCCTATTGCGACCCGGGGTTGGACCCTATTGCGACCCGGGGTTGGACCCTATTGCGACCTACCGCACTATATTATCGCATAGATACGTGGCTCTAATGGCATTATGTAATTATGATAGATGGAATAATTGCTGTTAATTTCATTCTGTATCACGTCTAGAAGGTTGCGTTAATTTTTTTTTTTTTTTTAATTTTGCCCCGAGGGGCGAGTTTTTTTGGTCAGCGCCACTCATCTTGTGAGTGGACACACCGCCATAGTGACAGTATTGGGCAGCGCCACTCATCCTGTGAGTGGACACACCGCCATAGTGACAGTATTGGGCAGCGCCACTCATCTTGTGAGTGGACACACCGCCATAGTGACAGTATTGGGCAGCGCCACTCATCTTGTGAGTGGACACACCGCCATAGTGACAGTATTGGGCAGCGCCACTCATCTTGTGAGTGGACACACCGCCATAGTGACAGTATTGGGCAGCGCCACTCATCCTGTGAGTGGACACACCGCCATAGTGACAGTATTGGGCAGCGCCACTCATCTTGTGAGTGGACACACCGCCATAGTGACAGTATTGGGCAGCGCCACTCATCTTGTGAGTGGACACACCGCCATAGTGACAGTATTGGGCAGCGCCACTCATCCTGTGAGTGGACACACCGCCATAGTGACAGTATTGGGCAGCGCCACTCATCCTGTGAGTGGACACACCGCCATAGTGACAGTATTGGGCAGCGCCACTCATCTTGTGAGTGGACACACCGCCATAGTGACAGTATTGAGCAGCACCACTCATCCTGTGAGTGGACACACCGCCATAGTGACAGTATTGGGCAGCGCCACTCATCCTGTGAGTGGACACACCGCCATAGTGACAGTATTGGGCAGCGCCACTCATCCTGTGAGTGGACACACCGCCATAGTGACAGTATTGGGCAGCGCCACTCATCCTGTGAGTGGACACACCGCCATAGTGACAGTATTGGGCAGCGCCACTCATCCTGTGAGTAGACACACCGCCATAGTGACAGTATTGGGCAGCGCCACTCATCCTGTGAGTGGACACACCGCCATAGTGACAGTATTGGGCAGCGCCACTCATCTTGTGAGTGGACACACCGCCATAGTGACAGTATTGGGCAGCGCCACTCATCCTGTGAGTGGACACACCGCCATAGTGACAGTATTGGGCTGCGCCACTCATCCTGTGAGTGGACACACCGCCATAGTGACAGTATTGGGCAGCGCCACTCATCCTGTGAGTGGACACACCGCCATAGTGACAGTATTGGGCAGCGCCACTCATCTTGTGAGTGGACACACCGCCATAGTGACAGTATTGGGCAGCGCCACTCATCCTGTGAGTGGACACACCGCCATAGTGACAGTATTGGGCAGCGCCACTCATCCTGTGAGTGGACACACCGCCATAGTGACAGTATTGGGCTGCGCCACTCATCCTGTGAGTGGACACACCGCCATAGTGACAGTATTGGGCAGCGCCACTCATCCTGTGAGTGGACACACCGCCATAGTGACAGTATTGGGCAGCGCCACTCATCCTGTGAGTGGACACACCGCCATAGTGACAGTATTGGGCAGCGCCACTCATCCTGTGAGTGGACACACCGCCATAGTGACAGTATTGGGCAGCGCCACTCATCCTGTGAGTGGACACACCGCCATAGTGACAGTATTGGGCAGCGCCACTCATCCTGTGAGTGGACACACCGCCATAGTGACAGTATTGGGCAGCGCCACTCATCCTGTGAGTGGACACACCGCCATAGTGACAGTATTGGGCAGCGCCACTCATCCTGTGAGTGGACACACCGCCATAGGAGCATGTACAACACTCCCCAATAGGAAGAAAACCCGCTGGGTTGTTCATCCTGTTGTAGTTCCCTGAATATTGCTGCCCTCAGGCAGCTCAAAGGCAGTCCAAGATGGTAATCAATTTCCCCTTTTCAAGAGCACAGGCTTTTGACCAACTCATCAGTTCCTATCATGCATTCGAAGACCAATATGAGCGGGAATCCACAGGAGATCAACTCTCGATTCCATCATTGAGCATGTCATTATATCTGTGTCTAGCTTCAGACACGTCACAGCTTTGCCTTGGGGAGCTGAGGGCAGTCAAGGAGGACAAGGAGTCGTTTACAATTAGCGTGTCGACTTTGGATTCGTAAACTCGTTCGAGCGGTTATGAAAAACAACTGTCTGATTTGACCAGACCACACACACTAGAAGGTGAAGGGACTGACGACGTTTCGGTCCGTCCTGGACCATTCTCAAGTCGATGAGAATGGTCCAGGACGGACCGAAACGTCGTCGTCCCTTCACCTTCTATTGTGTGGTCTGGTCAACTTACTTTAGCCACGTTATTGTGACTCATCGCCTGCAACTGCCTGAATAATTTCTGTAACTACCTTACCTTGCGGTTACTCTTGCGATGATTTCGGGGCTCAACGTCCCCGCGGTTCGGTCGTCGACCAGGCTTTCTGGTTGCTGGACTGGTCAACCAGGCTGTTGGACGCGGCTGCTCGCAGCCTGACTGAGTCACAGCCTGGTTGATCAGGTATCCTTTGGAGGTGCTTATCCAGTTCTCTCTTGAACACTGTGAGGGGTCGGCCAGTTGTGTAGTGGAAGCGTGTTGAACAGTCTCGGGCCTCTGATGTTGATAGTTCTGTCTCAGAGTACCTGTTGCACCTATGCAATACTAGCTGACATTAAAATGATAAAAGTGTGCAGGATAGATGTAATTGTTAATGTAATAATCTCCGTTGAGGTCTGATAAAGACCTTTTATACTCTCTGTAATCCTTTTTTGCGCTATCGCTCTCAGGATGAGTACAACTGAGTACAACACACACACACACACACACACACACACACACACACACACACCAGGAAGCAGCCCGTAACTGCTATCTAACTCGCAGGTACCTATTTGCTGCTAGGTAACAGTGGGCAGGGTGAAAGAAACTCTGTCCATTTTGTTTCCGCCGGCGCCAGGAATCGAACCCGGACCACAAGATTACGTAGCCACCAGGGTGTGTGTGTGTGTGTGTGTGTGATTATAAACTTGCTAACAGCAGGCACGTTCTCTGGTAATATATTTTCACTTACAATCTACAATTTACATATATAAATGCATCGTAATTTATACTGAAGCGTGTAATGTATCTGGCTTAAGTCTTGCATATTATGGTGTGTGTGTGTGTGTGTGTGTGTGTGTGTGTGTGTGTGTGTGTGTGTGTGTGTGTGTGTGTGTGTGTGTGTGTACTCACCTTATTGTGCTTGCGGGGGTTGAGCTTTGGCTCTTTGGTCCCGCCTCTCAACTGTCAATCAACTGATGTACAGATTCCTGAGCCTACTGAGCTCTTATCATGTGTGTGTGTGTGTGTGTGTGTGTGTGTGTGTGTGTGTGTGTGTGTGTGTGTGTGTGTGTACTCACCTAGTTGTACTCACCTAGTTGTGTTGGCGGGGGTTGAGCTCTGGCTCTTTGGTCCCGTCTCTCAACCGTCAATCAACAGGTGTACAGATTCCTGAGCCTATTGGGCTCTGTCATATCTACACTTGAAACTGTGTATGGAGTCAGCCTCCACCACATCACTTCCTAATGCATTCCATTTGTCAACCACTCTTGACACTAAAAAAGTTCTTTCTAATATCCTTGTGGCTCATTTGGGCACTCAGTTTCCACCTGTGTCCCCTTGTGCGTGTTCCCCTTGTGTTAAATAGACTGTCTTTATCTACCCTATCAATTCCCTTCAGAATCTTGAATGTGTGTGTGTGTGTAGTCACCTATTCGTGATCTTCTCCGTCACCTTGCATGGTATTGAGACTAGGGACACCGGGTAAGTGCCTCCTGCCTGTCACCCTATTTGTGTGCTGGGACTACGTTAGCCGTCTTCCAACTTTCCAACTGGTAGATCTCCTATTTCCAGTGACCTATTTTTTTTCCACCGTGGTTTCTAATTGTTACCGTGTAATTTGACTACTAAACTGGCACTGATTTACTAGTATTGATTAACCTGTTAATTGGTACTATTGACCTGTGTCTATAGTGGTTCATACAAAAGTCTTTAATGGCCGATTAAAGCAGATTTTTGTTGTATATTTAACTTTTTTTTACACTAAATACATAAAACTTAGGCCTTCATGCGGGTCCGCGTTCAATCCCCGACTGTCCAAGTGCTTGGGCACCATTCCATTCCCTTTCTCTTGATAATTCCCTTTCCCCTTCCATCGAGAGATGTGTGGTGGCCATCGTTGATTGGCTACTTGATGGAGAAGCTCCATAGGTCGCCTTTAGGGCCGCGGATAAAGGGCTAAAGGGGGGAGGGTTTTGATTGGTTGAGATTGCGGCGGGTCGTGACGTCATTAAACGAGAGGGCGTTCAGAGATTGGCCGAGGTACTTGGTCTTCATGACGTCAGTAATATGGGACAAGATGATTGGGGGAGGGGATATTATGGGAAGAAAAAGGGGGAACGTGATTGGTTAGAGGTGACGTCATATATAGCCTATAGGCTCTTGAATACGTCATATCTTAATAGACGAACCTCGCAGCGGTACGATTTTGGAGGATTTTGCACCAAAAAAAAACAAAAGAGAATCGAAATAAGAGAATCAAAATAAAAGAGAGCGGGGAAAGAGATCCAAAGGCAATCGGTGGAGGAGAGACTTAAACACTCCCCGACCCTATTGTGAGCCAGCCCGCGGGAATCAGATCCTCTTCCAGCCGTCCCATCGAGTCGTCGCCGGGGGAATCTATGGCCACTATAAACATCGCCAGCCCCTCTACGTCATCAGGGAGGGAGAGGGAGGGAGGGAGAGAGGGAGAGAGAGTGAGAGAGT